GGCGGCGCCAGCAGCCAGTCGCCGGTGGGGTCGGGGCGCGCGATGCTGAGGGCGGGCTCCAGCGCGCACGCCACGCTGAGGATGCTGTTGTACCCGAACCGCTTGAAGTTCAGCTCGCGCTCGAAGCGCTCCCTGCCACGACACGTTCCCGTTTAGTCATTACTTACTGGTACGGAATGATCATGATCGTGTAAATGTTACGACGTAAGTACGAGTGGAGCGAGGGCTAGTCAAGTACCTGTAGAGTCGGATGAGGTCCGTGCACCAGACGCCGCCGGGCGCCGCAGAGATCAGCTCCATTATCTCGGACTTGAGCTCCTCGAACTGACGAGCCTTCGTACTGGCGCTGCCTGAAGGGAGCAGGTGATATTATTATGATGTTACTAGCGTTTTACCTACGACTTGAGACACGTGAACAGCGATTTTTGTATTTTCTCGTTCTCATGGAATTCTTAGAAGATTTATGAACACTGGATCACTACACTTCATACAATCAAACTCCTCCCTGAATCCAGTAGTGTCACGCACGTCGCGATCTTCTCCGGCGCCCGCCGCGGTGGCGGAATGGAGGCGGAATTTTCAAAAGTCACTCACGCCTCGCCGCGGTTGGGATTATCGCCCGCAAACTTGGCGGCTGATTATCGCAAGGTTACGAGCCGGAAACATTCGCAACCGCCGCGGCCGTCAAACGAGCCATGAAAATTGGTTTGATTTTGTACATACTTGTCTATATTCTACAAAGGCTGTGGAACCGAAGGCCGCGGGCGCGGGACACAATCGCGCCGTGAGTCCTTGCCTTAGAAATCACGTTGTTACCAAATCAATGCATTTAATTTTATTTTAATATAATATGTTGTAAGTGCACACAGCAGTTTGGTCGCGTTACCAGACAGTAACCATCATAATCGATATTACTAATTGTTTTTGTTAATTTTGTACTGTGGATCTTGGGTTCTTTTCCCGTGTCGGGCAAAGTATTATTGGGGTGTTTTTGAAAGACTTCTCAAAATACATATTTTATAGTAGCACAGAATCCGCGCCCACCCCGTTTACATAGGACTAGTAACATAACTGGTGAGAAGTGGGTGTACAGGGTACAGTGCGTAGTGTTACGTGGCGTCGTGTGCACAAAGGCGCGAATGTGTGAAAGGAATTAAATTGATTATGCCCGGCGGACGGCGACTTTTAGTAATTTGTAAATTCTGCGGGTTTGCCTGACCTAACTCCGAGCTCTAGTCGAGGCAGATGGCGAGTTAGCGCACACACAAATATGAAATTCAAAAGCAACTCACTAGACGAAGTATGTCTCCCAGAATCTAGTTCATCATTGTCGAGGGCGAGTGATACGGCTCCATCTTTAACGTCTTCGATAGTATATAGATCGTTGTATAGCGGTATGCGCTTCTTCAAGAAATTCTGGACGTCATTACTGGTCACCGTAGTGTTGGGACCAGCGGCGGCAGGTTCCGTGCTGCCCCGTGCGGGGCGCGCGCGCGGCGCCGACTGCTGCGACGCGGGCGCGGGCGCGGGCGCGGGGGTGGATCTCGACCCGAATGATTCAAATACATTATTCTTTGTTGGTCTGGCTACTGTAGCTTCTGGCACACTTCTTCTTTTTGATTTACTGCCAAAATAACATTTCAACTGAGTGATATTGTGTCTCCAATATAGTCTTATGATTTTATTTTATTTTTCAAATAACGTAAACCTAAATTAAAAGCTAATGAGATTTACCGCCACCATAGATCCTCAAATACTATTCATATATATATCTTATACTTTATTATTTTGTTAATTTTATCTTTAAACTGTCAAACACCAAGCGGTCACCGGTGACCGCAACCTATTGTTCTATAATTGTGTCTACAAAACCGGTACTCGACGAGTTAAGTAAATAATCTATATAAATAAAAATCAATTTCCGTTCGTTAGTCTCGCTAAAACTCGAGAACGGCTAAACCGATTTTGGTAATTTTGGTCTTGAAATGTTCGTGGAAGTCCAGGGAAGGTTTAAAAGGTGAGAAAAAATATTAATAGGCGATACGAAGTTTGCCGGGCCAGCTAGTACGAATTATATAAAGCTAAAGAATTTGTTCATTTGTGTTATATGTTTTCAATATAATATATTGCAATAATTATTTATCGTGTTAATTAAACAAGCTAGTCAGAAACACAGTCATGTATTTTTCAAAACAAAAGAAGACATAAATAGATTTCCCAATTGAAAGTGGCCAGCTTGCCACAGATACCATAAACATATTTTATATAACAATTTGCTTGCGCGCTAATCCCCACGAGTACTGGCACGCGGCGTGATGCTACCAATGCGTCATGTTTTATAGCATTATAACCTTCCTTGATAAATGAAGACTTCAACACAAACATATTTTTTGAAATCGGACCTGTAGTTTCTGAGACTAGCTTGAACGCGCTACAAACAAATTATTTAGCATTATTTATTTACTAGCTGTGCCCGCGACTTCGTCCGCGGGGAATTTTGAGCATCATATTTATTGTTGCAAACAACCACCTCAATTGTTACCCACGTCTTTGTCCGCGGCAATTTCTGTCATTAAGTATATTAGACAATTTAGTTTTACGTTTTTAAAATAACATAATTCTTTTAAGTACTTTTAAGGACGCTGCACGACTGATGCCGGGGTAGCACTAATTAAGCGGGTTTTTGCCTCGTGGGAAGAGGCACGGGATGCCATCGGAATATTTTGCGATCTTTCGAAGGCATTCGACTGTGTTGAACACGAGACACTATTGCTGAAGATGGAACACTACGGCATTCGGGGTGTATCACTGAATTTGTTAAAGTCATACCTTCAGGATAGGCAACTTAAAGTACAGGTAAACAAAGTAAACTCACAGGGTGCTAGCAAGTCTATGGGCGTACCGCAAGGTTCAATACTATAGGTCCGTTCCTATTTTTAAAATATATAAATGATTTGCCATATTTATTTCAAAATGAACCACATATGGTATTATTTGCTGATGACACATCATTAATTTTTAAAATAAATAGACGAACAAATAATTATGAGGACGTAAATAATGCTCTGATGAAGGTTCAACATTGGTTTACAATAAATAACTTTGTGCTTAAACGATAAGAAAACGAAATGTATTAGATTTGTTTTGCCAAATGTTAGAAGTAAAGAATGTGACATATTATTAAATAGTCGGAAATTTGAATTATAAAAGAGACTACATTCCTGGGAATTCCTGTAGATGACAAATTGCAATGGGGTCCTCATATTACATCTTTAGCGGGACGATTAAGCTCTGCAGCTTATTCTGTCTGGAAGATCCGACAGTTAACCGACATAGACACGGCAAGACTACTGTACTACAGTTACTTCCATAGTATCATGTCGTATGGCATTTTGCCGTGGGGACACGCTGCTGACACTGAGTATATCTTTATCTTACAAAAGCGCGCTGTCAGAGCTATCTACAACCTAGGTCGTCGCGAATCTCTTAGAGAAAAGTTTAAGGAGATCAATATTATGACCGTTCCATGTCAATTGCAGCAAGATATGGCTGACAGGGAAATGGCCTTTAGAATGGGCTCACATAGTTTTCACTCGGCTACATAAAAAGGGTTCGACTTAGAAATGTGGCAACTTTCGACTTATTGCCCTTATAACACACGCCAGTAAAATAATGCTACATATTATTAACGAGCGACTTAAGGCATATTTATCCAGAGAAGTTGCGCCAGAACGGGCCGGTTTTGTGAAGACCCGTGAGCAAATTCTCATCGTTCGCCAAGTTATCGAAAAAGCACGAGAATACATATGCTTTGTTGATTTCTCTAAAGCGTTCGACTCGGTGAAATGGCCGACGCTATGGACTCTACTGGATATGGGCACACCGCAACACCTTGTGCATCTACTCAGGGGCCTCTACGAGGGGGGAACGGCATCAGTGCATACAGATGATATCCTCTCCAACAGCTTTCATCCAAGTGCGGGTGTGCGACAGGGATGCATAATTTCGCCGTTGCTCTTTAATATATACACCGAGCTTGTGATGCGAATCACTCTGGAGAACTGGAACGATGGTGTTGTCATTGGTGGGTATAAAAAATTTCAAACTTGCGATATGCAGATGATACCACCTTATTTGCAAGCAATGCGGATCTCATGCAGGAATTACTTCGCAAAATGGAACACGTAAGCCGGGCCTTAGGATCGAAAATTAACCGATCTAAAACAAAAATAATGATCGTAGACCGCGTCAAAGACAACTCGCCAGAAATTACACATATTGCGAATTGCGAAGTGGTTCAATCCTATATATATCTTGGTGCCTTCATATCCAACAGGGGTGGTTGCGTGGATGAAGTTAAGCGCCGCATGGCTATGGCCAGAACTGCGGTGGAGAAGCTGAAGAGAGTTTGGAGGAATCGCAACATTACTAAAACCACCAAGGTCAGACTTATGCGGGCGCTGGTATTTCCAATTTTCCTCTACGCGGCAGAGACGTGGACAGTACGTGAATTGGAAAAGGGGAAGATAGATGCTCTAGAGATGTGGTGCTGGAGAAAGATGCTTGGTGTATCGTGGACTGAGTTCCGCACCAACATATCCATACTCCGAGAACTCGGCATCACAAAGCGTCTATCAACCATAGTATAGACGCGCATACTGCAGTACTTTGGCCATGTCTCCCGTCGTGATAATAACTCTATAGAGTCGGTCGTTCAGGGGAAAGCGGAGGGAACCAGATCACGAGGCAGATCACCCATGCGCTGGACTGATCAAGTCAAATCGGCAACGGGAAACCCAGTGTCAGACTGCACCAGACAATCCACAGACAGAGAGAGATGGCGCGGGATATCGTGAGGAAAGCTGTATCGGCCACCAACACAAATACGGCCGCCTCAACGTGACCACGACCGCTCTGCCAAGAGCGAAACGACAGAGAAGAAGAAGAAGATGTCAATTTATTTATGAAAACATTATATATGTTAGGAAAAACCTACAGTTGTTTGGTAAAGTGTCTGACAGACACCACTATCGAACTAGACATAAGGATAGACTAAGTCAGCCACTATTTAGATTGACAAAAGTACAAAAGTCCTTTATGGGATTCTGTGTTAAATGCTATAATGAAATTCCCGAGGAAATACAACACTTAAATGAGTCAAAAAAAATATATTTCAAAAAACGTTATGTGGAAAAGCATACTACAAACTTAATGATTACACGGATCCACAGGATAGGGAAAAACATTGATGTTCCAATGAGTTCCAATCAGGTAAAAATACAGCCATTTTGTTCAAATGTATACTGTAAAACTTTTTACAGGGTGTCCCAAAACTCAACGATAATCTGAGACCGGATGAAAAGCCAAGTTATACCAGTTCTGGGAAAAATAATAAAAAAAATCCATATCACTCAGTTCAGCGATAAAAGACAATTTAAATAAAAAGTTGAAATTCGACACCCTTGGTCGCGTTTTCAAGTCCTGTGATCACCAATGTCACAATTTCGCAGTGATTTTTTTAATTTTGTGATCTTCATCAAATATGCTGTTAATCGCAACTACAAATTAATGCAAAAACATCGTTAATTTAATAAAATAAGTTAAGTTTTAGTGAGTAATCTTTCACAAAAATATTGTTAGTTAACTTTGACACTACATATTGAAAAAAAAATGTACTACACTACCGATTGGCAAGTTATTTCAAAAGATGGCGTATTTAATCAAGGTTTTAAAATGGTGCAACACTTGCCACTTTTCTTGCCTTTAAAAATTTTATTTCTTATTTTTTTCAAATTGAGCTCATTTTGAACAACTCAACATTAGGAATTTTGTTACTAAAATTTGTTATTTTTTGTTTCTGGTCTGAAATAAAATTATTATTTTTAGTAAAGAGGTAATTGAGTCAGTTAATAACCAATTTTTATTGGAAATAACATAATATGTAATTATAATTAAAAAAAAACAATGAACGAACCATCGTAAAACTTTTTATTTAATTATTCTCCTTAAACTAAAGTAAATGTTCGAATTGTCTTCCTCCGGCACGAATACAGGCTCTGCAACGCCTTACAAAAGACCTTTTCACCAGTCGTGCAAAATTCCTTGCATTTATTTCTTCTGACACTGCATCAATTTTCTGGCGAAGTTCTGATAGATTTTGTATAGGTTTCGAATAGACTTTTTCTTTTATGCATCCCCAGTAAAAAAAAATCAACTGGATTTAGATCGGGAGAACGAGGAGGCCATAAAATTGAACCACTGCGTCCGATCCATCTGTCAGGATATTCTTCGTTCAAATAATCTCTTACAGCCCGAGCATAGTGCGCGGGACAACCATCTTGCTGAAACCACATTTCTCTGTAGATACTAAGCGGTACGTCTTCTAACAAATTTGACAAATCGTTTTGAAGAAAATGCAAATAGGTGGCGCCATCTAAATTTTGAGTTAGCTCACATGGTCCAATTATTCGTCCGTTTAAAATTCCAGTCCAAATGTTTACTTTGAATTGGTATTGGGATCGGTCTTCACGCATTAAATGCGGATTTTCGACGTGCCATTCATGAAGGTTGTGTAAGTTTAAATACCCGTCTCTTTTAAATGTTGATTCGTCGGTCTATAAAATTTTATTTAGGAATTCCGGATCTTCACGATATTTTGCTAACATTGTCCTGCAGAAATCAATTCTAGGTGCGTAATCTCTGGGTAACAAACTCTGGACGCGTTGCACATGATAAGGATGTAATTTGTATCGTTTTAAAATTCGATGAGCGTTACTTTTCGGTACTCCCGTTGTTATTTCAATCGCACGAACTGAAGTGCTGGGGTAATTTTGAATTTCATTCAAAACTATGTCGTCGTAGTCTCTTTGTGGTCTTCCACCGGACGTACGAACCCTGGGCGATCGTCCTTCCGAGTATGACGCATGCACATTTTGAAATACACGATAATCTGGGTGACGCTGCACAGTTGGGTATCTCTCGCGATACAATCTGGCTGCGGCAGAGGCATTACAACGGCATTCACCGTAGATAAGATGCATATTTGCATATTCTTCGGCTGTGTACAGATCCGGCATGTTGTTCACACACTATTTTCACAGCACAAAGTCCAGAAAAGCAAAGCCAATGTCGTCAGTACGAATGCAGTATCAAGTCCAAAGTAACACAAGCCAAAGTCGTCAGTACGAATGCAGTATCATGTCCAAAGTAACAAAAGCCAATGTCGTCAGTACGAATGCAGTATCAAGTCCAAAGTAACAAAAGCCAAAGTCGTCAGTACGAATGCAGTATCAAGTCCAAAGTAACACAAGCCAAAGTCGTTAGTACGATAGTTACACGAATACGAGAGATGCGTTTTAGACGAAGAAACGATGCGTACTAAATGTTGTGAACGAACGACCCCTCAAGCGTCACTATCCGTCTCGCTCATCCTACAAGTCGAATGTCAATCTGTCTCACTCTAGAGTGAGACAGACTGTCAGCGTCACTATCTATCTCATTCTATCACTTTTGTTCATTACACACACTCGAGACTCCGATACTTTTTGTATTAACATACAAAAAGTATCAATTATTATTTTTGAAATGCGCTCAATTTGAAAAAAAATAAGAAATATTTTTTTAAAGGCAAGAAAAGTAGCAAGTGTTGCACCATTTTAAAATCTTGATTAAATGCGCCATCTTTTGAAATAACTTGCCAATCGGTAGTGTAGTACATTTTTTTTTCAATATGAAGTGTCAAAGTTAACTAACGATATTTTTGTGAACGATTACTCACTAAAACTTAACTTATTTTATAAAATTAACGATGTTTTTTGCATTAATTTGTAGTTGCGATTAACAGCATATTTGATGAAGATCACAAAATTAAAAAAATCACTGCGAAATTGTGACTTTGGTGATCACAGGACTTGAAAACGCGACCAAGGGTGTCGAATTTCAACTTTTAAAAAAAAATCTATTATCGCTGAACTGAGTGATATGGATTTTTTTTTTATTTTTCCCAGTACTGGTATAACTTGACTTTTCATCCGGTCTCAGATTATCGTTGAGTTTTGGGACACATGTATAATTATTGTAAATGTGAGAGCCCTGTAACTAACTAAATTAAATTAGACTAGTAGAATGCATGTGTGTCAGCTTGGAGTTGTCATGCTCACTCAGAAGTCTCATTGGCAGTGGCACGGGCAGTGGATCGCTCGATTCCCTACAACATGGTCGAGTTGGACGGTGATGGTGTACGTGTCATGTTCGTGAACGGGCGCTGTCAAATGGGACTGGTCAGCTCCAGACTGTATTAAATTTGTTGTCCTCAAGGTTATAGTTTCTTTTTCCGTCTCTTTGACCAAATATTGGTATTACATTGTTCTCACATTATTGAACTCAACGAAAGAATGTAACCAAAAATTGTACTGTGAACATGATTGAAAAAGAGTAACCTATGGAGTTTCTTGCTCGTTCTTCTCCATAGGAATCTACACTTTGGAACGAGGAAATAGCTTCACTAGAGGACTGACCTACAGACTGACATTTTTTCTTATTATTTAATATTTAAATACTTTGTTTTGACGTTCAAAAGTGCCTTCCTGGTCTAATAGAAATAAACGATTTTGACTTTAGACTTTGACTTTTACTTTAAAGTTAAAAGAAACAACATACTATCCTTAAAACAAACAATACTATAAAGAAAACAATGACAACAACTTATAATTAATTATCTACATCAAAACTAAAAACAAAGTGTTAATAATTGTGAAACTATTAGAACCAACATATTATCATCAAAACAAAATTAACATAACATAACATAACATCACGCCTTTTATTCCCGAAGGGGTAGGCAGAGGTGTACATTATGCCACTGTACAATGTAACACCCACTTTTCACTATTTATGTTATGAGTCCCATGTAATAGGAGGTGAGCCTATTGCCATATACCGGGGACAATTCCAGACTCCGTGCTACTACTGGGAATTTTTGAAAAAGCCAGTAATACTTTGCCCGACCCGGGAATCGAAGCCGAGACCCCTTGCCTGGCAGTCGCACTTGCGACCACTCGGACAATGAGGCAAACAAAATTAAATAGTATTTAAAAAGTATTGCCTCGCCCCCTCGCCCGCAAGCAACGCCTCTCCTCGCCCGCCGCCAGCCGCCCGCCGGCCGCCGGCCGCCGGCCAGGCGCAGCATCATGTTTTGCACATCATTCATGCGGCGCGAGTGAATATTATACCGCAACGCACGCAACGGAAGCCTTCAAAGATGAATACTTTTCCCCGTTTTTTCCAACATTTTCCATTATTACTTCGCGACGTGATGTTATCTAGCCTACAGCCTTCCTATATCTATACTTATAACTAGCGGCCCGTCCCGGCTTCGCACGGGGGGACTTAAGATTTTTTACATAGTTTTACGTTTTATTTATATTTATTCTCAGGTTTTTTTTATTTAGGAAGTATTTACCTTTTGAAAATATTTTTCCGGACGTCATTTACTTACTCCCATCACATTGCCTGAGTTTCTGTATAGAGCATTTTTGTATAACTTTAACTATATGCTCAGCGCACGCCACGGAAGGCCTCAGAAAGGATACTTTTCCCCCGTTTTTAAAACATTTTTGGTTACTGCTCCACAACTATAGGACCTAGTGTGATATTAGAGGTATATAGCCTATGTAACTTCTGAATAATGCAGCTTTCTAATGGTGAAAAAATTATTGCATCGGTCCAGTAGTTTTTGAGTTAATTAATTCATTACAAACATACAAAAATACAAATCTTTCCTCTTTATAATATTAGTATAGATATAGATAAATCTGTAGAGAGGTCAATTCTGTAAATGAAATATATTTCCAAAATAACCATCTGGAGGTGATTAGTGATCGATACTAATGCCAAAAATGCAATCAGAAAAATTCTTGTCTGTCTGTCTGTTTGTATGTTCCTTATAACTGGGGAGGTTATAGTATACTTTTCATTACGCTACAATCAATAGGAGCAGAGCAGTGAAGGAAAGTGTTGGGAAACCGGAGAAGTTACTCCATTTTATAAGCTTCCGTCGCGTGAGCAGGCTTACTTAATATTTAAAGCTACATAGAAATCATGTATCACGGAAATGTTCTACATAAAATTATCTAAATAATATTCCACAACAGCACACGTCCATCTTTTATGGTTGACTCACAATAACACGTGTAACTCCCGATAGCTTAGCAGTTCGGAGCTTTCTGCTTATATTTGTTTACAATACTCATCCATAGACATTACGCTGTAACTGTAGGGCCGATGGCTGAAATTAGCTTGACTCGATATAATAAATGTGAAAATATGTGAGTTTATGTGTTTGTGTATGTTTGTTACTCAGTCATATTAAAACGACTGAAGGGACCGGAATGAAATTCGGAACAGAGGTAGATTATGGTCTAAAGTTATACATAGGCATTTTACCGCTGAGATCACGGGCGAAGCCGCTGGCAGAAGCTAGTAAAAAAATAATTCATCAATTCGAACCAGGAGTTCCTGAGATTAGCGCGTTCAAACAAACAAACTTCAGCTTTATAATATTAGTATAGATAACTCAAAGGTGACTGACTGACTGACATAGTGATCTATCGACGCACAGCCCAAACCACTGGACGGATAGGGTTGAAATTCGGCGTGCAGGTAAATGATGTAGGCATCCCCTAACACAGGGTTATGATAAATTCCACCCCTAAGAGGATAAAATATGGGATGATAAATCTTCTTAGATTTGCGACTGATTGAACCGATATATTTAACTCAAATGAACAAAATAAATTAAAATACTCAACTAATACTCAACTAACTTAAACTTTAAAAATGTTAAAGTTAATTAACAAGTAGAGTCTACTTAAATTCGCCGGCCGCCGACGCTGGTGGTGCGCGGAACCGTAGTCTTTAAGGCAAACTAAGCAAATGCCTCGGGCGGCAGGTTATTGAGGGATTGAGGGGCGTCCCAAGAGGCGCGTGCACATACGTACATACATTTTAACGCACGTTATCAAAGCGTTGAAATAGAATAAATGCAGAAACGCACACATAATAACGCCTACAGTGTACGTACGCGTATTGAAAGTGTTACACTGCTCGATAATTGCGTCGCGTTATAAAAGCGCTCGAAGTAAAGAACATATTAAACCAAAATTATACCAACCGACGCAATAAAACGCTTTTTAAAGTGCGTTTTAAAAAATGTCCCTCGTTCGAATGGGGGATAAACATATACTCTATAGAATGCTGACATTAATACTTACAATTTCGAAGTGGATGGTACTTTTTGTCTCTGTACAAACTGATCAATGTGTTTTAATGTCTCTGGCACAATCAGAGTGAGTACTGGATTTGATGGCGGACCTGTAAACTAAAACAAAACACAGATAACTTAGGTATGTCAAAATAAAAATATTTCTACTGTTCTACTATTCTATAGGTACAGTATGTTCTATGTTGCACACAAATTCAAATACATCTATTTTATGCAAGCGTGACCACAATATTATGAATTTATTTATTTATTTATTTTCTAAAATAAAAGTACCTTTCCGAATGATGGGATATGATGAGAAAGGATATGATGGGAAAGGATATATGGTGTCGTGACAATTAAAGTTTTTGTAGATCGATCAATCAATACACTTAGGTACATAGTACATACTTAAAGATAGGTTTATTTCATAATTTTCTACTTTTTAAAGATGTTGGGGATTTTAAAATTTAAACGCGCCGGCGCGGCCGGCGGCGGCGGTCGGTGACGACGGGGCGCGAGCACGTGGTGGCGCGGCGCGGCCGGCGGCGGTCGGTGACGACGTGGCGCGAGCACATGGTGGCGTAGCGCGCGGGCCCGATATCGACGGTTGAAAGGCTATCTAAGCAACATTTTTTTGTGATATTGTTAAATACCTACATCACGACGAAGGATAATTCGCTGATTTCGAATACGTATTTAACTCAATTTCGCAAGAAAATTTTGCTCAGATCAATTTGCCTTTCAACCGTCGATATGTATTCATATTCATTTAATCATTTGCAAACATGTCCATTGAATTAAATTACACTAATCACCACTTAAAAAATATCTGACCCAATTCATATTATTTCATAATAAGCTTGACCAATATAAAAATACTGTATGCATTTTATTTCGATATCACATCTGGTTATAGGGATAAATATTTTTTAATTTTTTTACCTACCTACAAAAGTTATTAAAATGCGGGTAGTCCGGAAACTTATTACTTTTGCAAATGGAACATAGTGCATTTGTTAGTATATTAACTGACTTCTGAAATGTCGCGAGTGTGTGTTAACAGTCCTGATTTATTGTGCTATATTTGTGGCGAGTTTACGCCGAAATCGAAAAAATAACCACTTTCTGACTTAATTAAACAGTGCTATCAAGCTTATTTTAACCGTGTCGTAAGGAATCAAGACAGGTCATGGGTTCCTAAAGTGTGCTGCTTAAGATGTTATACAACAACTAAAAACAGTTTCCCAAGCTTAGTGACGCGAAAATTAAAGATTGTGTGGTGTTTTCCAGACATAGTAGTACGAGATCCGGCTGCAGAATCAGTGTACCAATCGAGTGTTTGCTGAAAACCAAATTTTTACATATATTCATGATTAGGAGAATTTATATCCACCAGGTTGCCTATCAAAATGTGGCCGCTAGTATTTTTAATAAAATTATTAATAATTCATAATCCGTAAGAAATTTCATTGACTTTTTTTTTCAATGAAATGTCGTCTACTTTACGGCAACATCTATAAAGACTCTGAAAAATTATGGTTGCCGTTGCGCACCTGGCCGCACCTCTTCGCAGCCAGGTATACACAGGTATGAATTTGTTACATTTATACACCCACAACGTACATTTATAATTTATATATCAAATTAAAGCAAATTTTTTTCTGTATATTATTATATACGGTTGCTTAATTAAATCTGGCCGCCAATAAGGGTTGCTGGCTAATAAATATAGTAAATATTAAAAGTAGAGTGAAAGAGAGCTAGCGCGTAACACCACTAGTCACTAGGTACGACTCAAAATAATAAATACTCCAAAAGAAACGTCTTTCTTTTCTAAAATAAAAAATTAAAAAGTCAATGACAAATTTAAAAATTACAAAAAAAATGAATATTGATGATAAATAAAATCAAGGTTACTTATGTAAAAAAATTGTGTTGTACAAGTACTGTATGAAAAAAGATTTAATTTTATTCAAGTATTACATTTATTTTACATATTCATCAATCAT